GATCTGCAAAAATGACTAAATTCCAGTGAATAGAGCCATAATTATGGTTAAAACAACAACCTCAGGTGGTCTAGGCAAACTGTTACTTCAGGGCTCATACCACTAATTGAATTTCCATAGACGACAATGTTAACATATGACGAGATTGCTATATGAAAATGACGAAGAAAGTTGAAAATATGGCTCAAAAATGGGAAATCAACATGCCAGTAATCAACCATATGAAAAAAACTAACATGTTGGCCAGCTCAAACTCTTGCAAATCTCAGGTAAACAAGACACACCTACTGTATTTGGATTGCACCAAGAGAAATCACTGGAAAAACACCAAGATTAGAACATCCATTAACACACAGAATAAACCCACAGGTACACAGCCGCTAAGTAGTAAACAAAAGACCACATGTTGGTCTCACCTCTGACCCAGGTGATTACGCCCTCAAACAGGGAGCACCTGAGAAAAATAATATTTAAAAAATTTCATTGGTTCTTGCTGGGCATTTAAATTGAGGGCTACGAGCAGCCATTGGTTAATTAGTGGCATGAGACCTATAGTACCAGGATGTGTGACCTTTAGGGGTTGTGTATAGTACCAGGATGTGTGACCTTTAGAGGTTGTGTATAGTACCAGGATGTGTGGCCTTTAGGGGTTGTGTATAGTACCAGGATGTGTGACCTTTAGGGGTTGTGTATAAGGCATAATATTCAACTGTACAGTTCATGAATTGCTACTACCAACCTTTGACTGAAGCTGTCCTTGTACAGTTATAAAGTATGGCAAGTTCACCAAAAACTTTTCCAGAACCCATGATACCCAGAACCTTGTCCCCCTTGGATACTTCCAACTCTCCCTCTGTAAATTAAAAAGTAAAACATTAAAAAAAAAACTTTTATGTATTGAGGGGTATTGGAGGCATATCAAGCAGTCATAAGTTAATTAAAAATTTTAAACAAAGGTTAGTTAGCAAAAGTTTCATTGAAATCTGATCAGTGGTTTCTGAGAGAAATTTGTTAATTTATGTAAATTGAGAAATAAATATGTAAATTATGTAAATGAGTGACAGACAGAACATACATGCATCTCCAGGCAGTAATAATACAGGATTTATTTTCATAACTTATACGATGGAGTTTATTGTAATGTATTCTATCATTCCTACACTGTAACTTATATCTCATGTGAATCTTATATGCACATACCATAGAAATGTACGCAGCAACTTGAATCTGGTGTACACAGCAACTAAAGTCTGGTGTACACAGCAACTTAAAGTCTGGTGTACACAGCAACTAAAGTCTGGTGTGCACAGCAACCAAAGTCTGGTGTGCACAGCAACCAAAGTCTGATGTGCACAGCAACTAAAATCTGGTGTACGCAGCAACTAGAGTCTGGTGTGTATTAAAATATTACCTGCAGCAACGTAGAAATGTGCTCCAGCATCGCCTTCTTTGATGACTAATTGCCCTTTTTCAAATGTTTTTGGGTACATACAATCTACAATCTCACGGACCTGCGAGGCATCAAGGTTTTTAGTAAAGTCATTGTCTAGTATAGCATCTTTGATAAGCTGCTTGGACCTGAAAACAAAGAATAAAAATGATGTAAACACCTGGCAATAACAAATTACACATAAAATGACCTGGCAATAACAAATTAACACCTGTAGTTGCCACTCAAAATGACAAATCTAGAGTAAGCATCTATATTGAACATTCAAAAGCAGTCACAAAACAAGAATGGAGTGTATACATACAGTCTATTTTTAAATGACTAAAACTCAAGTCTGAAATACATTCTTTAAATTGCTTGGACCCCAATACCATCTATAATGACCTGGCAATGGCAAATTAACACCTATAATGACCTGGCAATAAAAAATTAACACCTATAGTGACCTAGCAATAATAAATTAACACCTATAATGACCTGGCAATAACAAATTAACACCTATAATGACCTGGCAATAACAAATTAACAATTATAGTGACCTGCAATAACAAATTAACACCTATAATGACCGGCAATAACAAATTAACACCTATAATGACCTGCATAACAGATTAACACCTATAATGACCTGCAATAACAAATTAACAATTATAGTGACCTGGCAAATAACAAATTAACACCTATAGTGACCTGGCAATAACAAATTAACACCTATAATAATATGGCAATAACAAATTAACAATTATAGTGACCTGGCAAATAACAAATAAACACCTATAATAACATGGCAATAACAAATTAACACCTATAATGACCGGCAAATAACAAATTAACACCTATAATGACCGGCAAATAACAAACTAACACCTATAGTTGCCACTCAAAAATGATAAATCTAGAGTGAACATCTATATTGACCTTTCAAAAACACAAACCAAGAATAAAACAAATATACATAGAAATTTTTATATTATGTTTTTAAATGACTAAAACTCAAGTCTGAATTACATTCTCTAAATAGCTTGGAACCCAAATACATGTACAATTTTATATAAATATGCCAAATTTTCATAGTACGCATGTTTCTGCATTTTTAGTCACATCTATGTAGTATCTACATGTGTACATGTTTGAACTCATCAATTTGATTAGATGCCTTTAGAAATCCATTAGTGATAATGTACATGGTATCAGATTCCCTAGAGTAACACCTGTTGAATTTATATCCTATAAACTCTTCAAACGTCAGAGTATAATTTCCAAATCTCAAAAACAATCTGCATTTCTCACGTAGTGTAAAATGCAATACTGTAAAATGACTAATTTTCACTGGGTTTAAATTTCGCTGATTTACTATTTCAGGCATATTCAGTGTGTTTTAAATTCACGGTTTTATCATTTAGATAATGTGTTCTATGCTAAATTTTACATATTCACTGGGTTTTAATTTAGCGCATTTTTCAGTCAGCGAAATAAGCAAAATTAAAACCCAGTGAATAATTACT